TGCTAACATCAGCAACTCCGCTCCGGGCTCCTCATCCCGTGCCCCTCATGCTAAAATCACCAGCTCTGCTCTGGGCTCCTCATCCCGTGCCCCTCCTGCTAAAATCAGCAGCTCCGCTCCGGGCTCCTCATTCCGTGCCCTTCCTGCTAACATCAGCAGCTCCGCTCCAAGCTCCTCATCCTGTGCCTCTCCTGTTAACATCAGCAGCTCCGCTCCGGGCATGGCTACGCCGGAGCAAGGGAACGGGAATCGTGGCTTCATCCGCCTCTTCGGCGTCAACATTGCCCAGCAGGAGTAGGCGATACTTCTGCAAGCGCTACCGGAGGCTTGCAGCTCAGCATGCTAGTCCCTTAGCTCGCTCATGATTTCCCGCTGCTGATTCTCAGTCAGTGCGGCAAAATAGTATCTTTGCTTCCGTTATTTACTTTCGAGATGATTACATTGGTTCAGATTTTACATAGTTCGTTCATACTAGAGCTTTTAGCCTGTATGTAGGCTTTCCAGATTTATCGGTTTTATGAACTATTTCAAGTTTGATTCTAGGGTTCATACCAGAGCTTGTAGCCTTGTAGGCGTTCCAGATCAACCAGTTGTATGAATCACTTCGGTTTAGATTCTAGAGTTCATACAGGAGCCTGTAGCCTTTTGGCTTTCCAGATGTAATCAGGTGTATGAATTATCTCATGGAATAAAGTTATAAGAGTTGTTTGAATAACGTATCTCTCGAAACAAGCTTTTGTCCAACTTTATATATAGAGCCCAAACAGCCGAACCGATACAAAGGTGGTGGGAAAACAGAGCTGTGAGAGTTGGGAAACAAAGTTGCCAGAGTATTCAGTATGCACTGTTGTCTTACTCTCTGAATGTACATCAAGTGTATCAAAAATAATCAAGCTGTTCTACTTGAACCTCTCCTTGTATACAGCACAGATGCAAATTAAGTGGAAACCTTTTGATGTCTAAGAATATAACTACACTTTTTTGTGGAACATGAGCATCAGTTAGATCTTAGAAGTATACGTATTTACATCCCTGATGATGATGATGGCATATGCAAGTGATTGAGTAAGCGGTACCAAGGTCCGAGGGTCATATATTCTGAATTGCCAGTCTCGCGGCAATCATACCAATATTATGTTCTACATACTCAATTCCGCTGTTTACTCTTTCCAGAGTGTCTGTTGAATCCATTGCCTTTATCTTGTATTTTTGCAGGGTAAGAAGTTCTGCATCTGACATACCTGTAGTGTATGACTTTGATGTTAGATTAGACTACATGAAGCTGACGTACATCCTCTGCACCATCTCTTTAGTTGGTCATTCCAGGTAATATTGAGATTTAAAACATAAGTTGTAATCAAGAAGTGATCAGAGGTGACGATGGAATGATCTTTTGTCACCTGAAACTGATTGGTACGCGGCAAAAGAGAGACGTTCTACGAGCCCAGGGATAAATTCTTCGTCGTACCCTTCGAAAGTTTCTTTCTCAGACCACATTAGAGAGCTCTTGATGTTTGTTTGCAGTGGTTCATCCTCAGGCACCTAAATCGAGAGGTTTTTATGTCAGAACATCAGGATATTCAAACGTACGCGAATTAAAAGGAACAAAAAATAGTTACTAAACCTTCAGCTTCATTTGTAGGCTGTGCAAATTGCACATGGATTCTCTTAGTCTGGAAATTCTCAGGCCCAATCCGGTGCCATCGCGAGACTTGTCCATCATAGGAGAAACATCACCACGCAAGTAGGGCTCCATCTGGATCAAGGAACAATGTGACCATCTAAAATAGAAGTGAAACACAAGAGGTACCGTGAACTGTAGCTACATAAAACAGTGGATCAAATTCAGGATATGAAAAGAGCATATGCCTAGGTGCCTAGCCATTCCTTTATTTCTGACTCTTCTTTCTTAGCCGTGCCAAAAATAATTCAGAACTACCACCGCATTCAACGGTCTATAAAACTCCATAAGTGGACTTACGAAATCTGCACATATGTGTATTATAGATCAAACGGGAATACAGCATTTTGATAGAAAATGAGAAAAATAGCTTTGAAGGTATTATACACACAATTCATAGAAGTTCTCAAGTATTTGAACAATGGTACGAGCATCAACATCTAAAACAATTCAAACTCAAGAGCCAGAACTTGCGTACCTGAAGAAGGTTCTTGATGTTCACACGGCATACACCTCTAATTGACACTAATGCTCCAAAATCCAGCTTTTGAACCTATACTAGAGATAAATCATTGAGTAGAAAAGGTGAACAATCCTAACAAGAACCCTGACAATGAAATATAGAAATACTTCACAGACAGGACAAGAACTCACACTTTCTATCTGCACCAAACAACCATATCTTACAGCAAACGAATCCTTGGAAGAGCTTGATAAAACTGGATCAAGGACAAAGTGTACAAGAGAATTTTGCCTCTTATACAAAGCCTGTTGAGTGAGGATTGACAGACATATCAGAAGACCTGTTAGGATTCAAGGGTGACAACAATATGTAGTTCTTGTGTATGAACAATGAGTCAGAATTCCCTTTGTACTGTCCTCAGCACTCATTTACTAACTAGAGTTTTGTAGGATATCAAGCCAAGACTCATTAAAAAAAATCTACAATTTTCACGATATACATGGTTTCTTGTGAGACGTTCATTTTTTATGATCCAAGGGTGGAGAGTCAAACTACCTTACCGAACATAGTAGGTCATATCTCACCACATAAGGATGATAGACTTTTTACTTCACAGTAAATAAGGGTGTATATACTATTTAGGCTCTCTTTAAAAGCGTGATCGTCCATAAGGTAAGCAGTTACTGAAATAAATACCTTATGGAATCGTCATAAAAATAATATTTTGATTAGCTGTATTTCAGAAACAATATACTATTTAGGATCGCATTAAAAGCACGATTGTCCATAAGGTAAGCTAGCTGTCAAAATAAATAACTTACGAAATCGTCCGCCCACCTTGTAATTTGATCAGCTGGCCCATTCATCTGCCATACCCCTTCGGGGTCATTGCCAGCTGGCAGGACCAGGGGCAACTGTCAGCAATGCGGGAGACGGAGGTCCCACGGATTGACGGGACGGGTCATGCTTGTGCCCCAGCCATGTGAGCCGGTTGGCGTGGTTAGGGGCTGCCACGAGTCAATGCTTGAGGAGGTCCCGAGCACTGAGAACCCCAAGCGTTCCCTCCGTTATTACTCCCCTTCCCCCATGGGCTCCCGGATTGGGTGTGTGGCCCTTGGCGGGCCTCCACGATCATGACGACCTGAATGGGAGGGACGATGGTGACGACTGCGACACGGCTCCGCTTTTGGCGTCGTTCGGTCGGCCTATTGTAGGCCAGATGGGACGAATGAGAAGTGGTTTGGTTGCACTTAAAATATAGGCAAGGACGGCACGCCCGTTGAATCGGATGACGTTGGAGGCCCAGGTACGGTCATAGCATGGTGATACGACAGCTTAGGAGGCCTCTACCCACTACGGCCCATTCCGAGACGTCATGGAGGAAACCCACGTGGATGATGGGCGATGAAGGTCAACCCATCATGGATGGGCACAACCATGGACACCGGCGACTCCCTTGGAGACTATAAAAGGGAGTTGGGTGGTTCCGTCCAGGGACGTGTGTCGGTGTCAAAACCGGCGGATCTCGGGTAGGGGGTCCCGAGCTGTGGATCTTGGATCAATAGGGAACAAGGAACGAAGGAGACGATGTTTACCCAGGTTCGGGCCCTCTCGAAGAGGTAAAACCCTATGTCCTGCTTGATTATATTGAAGTGTATAGGATGATTACAGAGTCGATTTACCACGAGATCAGATGAACTAAACCCTAGATGAGTAGGATGATGGTTGTTCTTCTAGCCTCTACGGACTAATCCTCTGGTTTATATAGACACCAGGGGTACTAGGGTTACACATGGTCGGTTACAATGAAGGAATAAACATGTCGATTCTATCATCTTGACTTTGAGGACACACCAAGGCTCCATAGGTTTCCTGTCCAGATACGGAGTCGCCTTATAGCCCGGCCTTGTAGTAGTCGCAGAGCAGCCCACCTGTCCGGCCCATAAGAGATAGGTCGGCAGCCCGAGGACCCCCTAGTCCAGGACTGCCTCAGTAGCCCCCGAACTAGTCTCCAACGCCGGGATTCGTGATTTCTGGTAGCTCTGCACGTCCGAAGTCTCTGGCTTGCGAGATGAGTTCTTCACCCCCTCAATGTTCAGATGTCCATAGTTCAGCTGCCGACGATCTCCCGATTTGTCGAAACGCCATTGGGCCCACCATACCAATCTTTGCATTCAGGGTTAATTACACCCCTCGATTTCCGTGCGCCAGAAGCAGGAACGCCCCTTATGAAAACAAGGAGGAAGCACCTATTAAATAGGCCAGGAGCATGACAGACAACCCATTCCATCCCCCAAATCCAGAAGCCGAAAAACCAAAAAACTGTGGAGAAAAAATGGCAGGCGCCCCAAGCTCCTCCTCACGCCCCATGGCCCCCTCCCGGGTGACTGGGCAAGCTGTTCAGTCTCCCACCTTCAATTAAGCAGACTTGAGACGGAGGGATATCTTCCCGCTTCAGATCTCGCATCTACCCGCCCCGGATTAACTTCCGTGAACGGTGAAGCTCACGCAGAGAACTTCCCTGCTCCATGCAAAGAAGAGAGGCTATGTTCCGTGCCCTTCCTCTTACGAGGCTTGGGCTTCCCAATCCATCCTTTCCTGAGGGGCCTGCTAGAGTTTTATGGGATCCAACTCCATCACCTCACCCCTGGATCCATTCTGCATATCTCGGGCTTCGTTGCTCTTTGCGAGATGTTTCTGGGTTGTGAGGCCCATTTTGAACTATGGAGAAAGTAATTTCTGCCTCGTCCCTCGCACCCGAGGGACAATCTGGGAAGTAGGCGGAGCCGAAGTATGGCGCATAGCCGGGACAGGGTATCCCGTCGGGACCCCAAAGGACTCTGAAGAGTGGACCTCGAAATGGTTTTATATTGAAGACGTTCCCCTATTCAAGCCAGTTCAAAGGGGGATGCCCGAATACTCAGACGCTCCTTTAAAGAAGCGGTTCAATTGGCAGCCAAAAAGCCTTTCTCAAGAAGAAAGTGCCGAAGTGCAGCGCCTGGCCGCCAAGGTGAGGTTGTTAGCCCGCAGCAAGTTAACCATCATTGATGTGACGGCTGCCATCATTACTCGATGCGTGCAACCCCTTCAACAAAGGATGCATCCTCTGTGGTGTTATAATGGGACAAGCGACGCGACCCGTTATAAACGGAAGGGGCCTGACAACCAGGCAGCAATGGCAGCTATACTGGCCGATCTCTTCAAAGGAGAAGAAGAAGAGTTTGCCCTTCTAGGAAACAGGGATGGCTATTCGAGTTATAACCCCATTGAATGGGTAAGTTCAACTTTCATTTTCGTAGTCCGGACATTACATTTGTATTTAATGATCGGATCTTCCATTTTTCCAAACAGAATTGGAGGCGCTTGGTCGAGACCATCAGCTGCCCTTCTCCACAACCAGAGAGCCATTCCCGTGATGATTTCCCAGGATTACATGACGGTCCAGAGACATCAATCAATTTTGAGGACGAGGTCTTTTACCAGGAGAGTCTCGATGGCTCTAAGGTGGCCCTTATAGCCGATCACCCTGGGACCCTCCCTTCTTCTGTTGTAAGTAGCAAGAAGGCCTCTTGTCTAAAAGGGCGTTTGCCTCGCGCCATTCCGAGTATGCTAACTTCTACTCCAAAGGGTCGCCGAACACCGATGAGAGCGGCGTCGACTATGTCGGCACCAACCAATGGCGGAGCTTCCAAGCGCAAGGTGGCCACGGGAGCTACATCGACCGCAACCCCGACCAAGAGGTATTTATTTGAGCTTATAGTTCGGCCATTAATGTGACCGATGCAAATACTGATAATTTTTTCTGAGATCTGCAGAAAGTGTGTACCTCCACTATCGTCTGAAGACATCAAGGAAGCGCCAGGGGTAATCCGCTGAGATCTTTGGCACGGGCCTGGGTCAACACGGAGGCTCCTGCTGCAGACCAGCCTCCGAAGGATCCTGGGGATGTCTCGGTTACCAATTCCGAAGTCGAAAGTGTGATGAATCACCGACAACGGAAGGAGTCACTGCGTCATCCAGTGTTTTCCGAACAGGAGTTCAATGCACTTAGTTCGGTGGACGCCTACCTCGGAGCCGCCCGATCCGGACTTGAGGGAATCGCCCATCTACTGTCCAATATGCAGGTTTGTGATTGGTTTTGATAACCGAACATAAATCCTGACCCAGTAGCCCCCGAGCCTTAAGTTGGGCGGTACGGCCGAGCTAAGGGTCTTAATATGCATATGTTGTGACATGGTGCAGGCCTTGAAGGAACAAAACAACAAACTGACCGAGGACCTTGAGCTGAACCGAACACAGTTGGCGGCTGCACAGGCCGAACTGGAGGAGGTCAAGAAGTTCACCCAGGAAGCACATGTTGAGTAGAAAGTTTTACCGTGCGTAAGAATTTTTTTAAGGTGTCTTTTGTGACAAAAGATTGCCTTGTAGCAGCCGAGTCCATAGGCCAACTGGAGAAAGAATTGAAAGCAGCCAAGGAGGCCCAAAGGTATGCCGAATCACAACACGAAGCCGGCTACCGAGTACTGGCCCTTAGCCATGAGGATAAAAACAAGCTTAAAGCAGAAAATCAGCGACAGGCCAAAGAAGTAGAGCGATTAAAATCCCAGCTGGCACAAACCCTCGAGGAGAACCAGAGATTGAAAGGCGGCATATTTGGTAAGTGAAATTTCAACTTGTGATCATGCAAAGCATGCGTATGATGTCAATGTAAAAAAAAACCTACCCATCTCTTATTAGGTCTCCTGAACGGGCGTCTCGAAGAAGAGGCTGGCTCGTTCGGGGGGAACCTGCTAAAGGAACTGTCCATTGTGCACGAACGAGCTCGAAAAGCTATGAGGAGCATGACAAAGGCGTTATGGCCAAACGGGACGCCTCCGGAAGGGATGGCCAAACTGGCCAATTGATTTAAAGGAGCTCGGCGTCGTTTCGAGCTTTGGAAGATGTCGGCTTGCCAAGAAGGAGCACGGGAGGCATGGGCAATGGTTAAGACTAACTTTACCAAGCTAGACCCGAATCATTTAGCTCGGGTTGGGCCGGCAGGGCCCGACGGGCGAGAAGTGCCACTTCATTTGGTGTATGACCAGGTGATGCCAACTGCTCAGTTATCTCAAGAAGACTGCGCCCTAGATACTATAATAGATAGTCTCGACCAGAAGCAGGGTGTTAGATTCTATGTATCTATGTACTTTACATCAAACAATCTCCGTCCGTGCTGTAAACGTTGTCTTAACCGGCCATCGGCTTCAACCTCCCCTGCCATTGGCCAGGGTTTGTTCCGAACTGTGTGGCCTGTTCGAATAGAAAA